GTGTGAGGAGTTTTGCAAAAGTGACCTAAGTATTGAGAAATGTGTCCTAGCGTCTGTAAAAAACTGTAAGCTGTGTCACTTTGAATATAAGTGTTTTGTTTGTTTGTTTTGTTTTTTGGCCTTGTCTGCATTCAGTCATATAGGACACAACTGGAGTGTGTATCTTATATTCCATAACTATGACAATATGCACATACTTTCTTCATCTTGTCATCCATACCTGTGCGAAATTCCAAATATCTAAGGCAAAGCTTGTGTGAGAAGTGACATTGGGCCGACTAATTGGCCTTCCAAACTGAGAATGCTCGCTGTACCACACAGCTGTAGTGGGCTGAAAAACAACAAGATCCAGCGACTCAAGGACATGTTGGAAGAAGGTTTTTTTATATTCTAAAAACCGCAGGCATATCAATTTAGAATTATTTCATGAAAAACTAATTTTGTTCCTTTGTTCTGTGGAGCCCTGTGGACTCAATGGTTATAAATGATCAAGAAAACACATTTGGATTTTATGATCTCTTCAGTGTCAGGAAGTTCCCACTGTTATTTTGTGTATTTTCTCTTCTACACTGGGAAAAATGGACACAATGGGCTATCTACTCATTATACGTACAGGAGCTGCTCAACCATGGAAACCCATAGCGTGAAGCTCCCAGTGCACAGTTTTAGTGCTGATAATAATGCCAAAGGAGATTTGGCACAAGAAGAACTGCAGTTAGACTCAGCTGAGTGTTGAAGACATTTAGACATTGTGCACCTGGGGGCGATTGTGGCTCAAGAGTTGGGAGTTCGCCTTGTAATTGGAGGGTTGCCGGCTTGGACAGTCTCGGTCGTTGTGTCCTTGGGCAAGACACTTCACCCGTTGCCTACTGGTGGTGGTCAGAGGGCCCGGTGGCGCCAGTGTCCGGCAGCCTCGCCTCTGTCAGTGCGCCACAGGGTGGCTGTGGCTACAATGTAGCTTGCCATCACGTGTGCGTGAATGGGTGGATGACTGGATATGTAAAGCGCTTTGGGGTCCTTAAGGACTAGTAAAGCACTATATAAATACAGGCCATTTACCTTTTTTTTTTTTTTTTACCTCAGCATAGAGAAGAGGTTTGACCCATTCTTCCATAGATGTTTGTAAAGGCAATAAGACTGAAAACACCTGAATTCAAAGACAAAGAGGCATGAGCCAGTCCTTTTGCCCATATGTTGCTGTGCTGTTTCTTCATCTGAAGAAGAATAAGGACAAAGTGTGGGTAACCATACTGATCCAGTGACTGGATAAACTAGCCCCTGCAGATCTAAAATGAAGACAAATCGAACAACTGCAGGGCCTTTTCTTCACTAAAGAAGAGATAATGTTTATTGTCTTACTGGCTGTGTTAATGATAAATGTGGTATAAAGAGGAACTGAATGCTGAAATACTGGTAAGGTTTTTGAGCTGCATTTGTAATCACCTAGATTTTAAATGGCTTTTCATGGTAATGTATGGAGCAATATATTCCTGACAGAGTTTCATACCCTACTGATTCTTGTTTTTTAAATGTAGTTTGTTTCTTGCTGCTTAGATTTGCTGTTTGGTTCAGCTGAAATCCCTGCAAAACTAATAAGATTTTGAGATGTATTTCCTCTCAGCAAGCTGAAGCTGCAATGAAGTCAGCATTAGTAAGTCTCTCCGTCAAAGTCAAAGAACGCATCATAAAGTAATCATACACAGATGGAGATGTATCTGCAGCAGAAGCAGAGCATGGGCCTTCCAATACTTTCAGATATTGTTTCCTATCTGTGATAAACTGCCATGCTATGAAAATCACACCTGTAGTAGCAAAGCTGGGTTTTCAGCTAGAAGAAAAGTTGTCTCACAAAGGAGGACAAATGTTGTTCTCGCTCCACTACACAAGACTGCAAGCAGTGTTAAAGTGGAATTCATCAAAAATAGGATTGAAGGGTTTAGGATCAAGGGGCGGGGGGCAACTCCTCTGGTTCCACAAAGAAGTCGGACTGTAGAAGTCTGAGAAATGGAGACTGCTCACTGGATCTTTGACAATGTGAATATTTTTCTGTTGTATTTATGGCTAAAAGAAAATGATGCTCATTTTATATATTGTGAATTTCTTGGTGTAGCCAAGTGAAAGGAGCTTGCAAAGAAAAGTGTCTGGACTTCTTTAAGTTGCTTGAAGACGTTTCACCTCTCATCCGAGAAGCTTCTTCAGACTACGATGACCTGGATGACCGAGAACCTTCATAGACATATTGGTGTAGCCAAGCAACCAAAGGTTGGTCGCCAGAATCTCATCTCTGCTTTTCGGTCCTGCTGTAGCTGGAGGTCGAGTGGAGTGCCACTTCGCACTTGAGTGGTTTGTAGCTGAGTGTCGAGCCATTGGAATGAGGATTAGCAGCTCCAACTCTGAAGCCATGGCGCTCAGGCAGACAAGGGTGGAGTGCCCACTCCAGGTCAGGGACAAGTTGCTACCCAAAGTGGAAGAATTTAAGTATTTCTGGGTATTGTTCACGAGTGATGTGTGAGGATAGAGGCAAGCTGGAGATTGATGTACGGATTGGTGCCATGGCTGCAGTGACCAACTATAGTGGTGAAGAGAGAGCTGAGTGTGAAGAATAAGCCTGGAAGTCACTGGTTGATGTACAACTCCACCCCCGACTATGGTGTTGAGCTTTGGGTAGTGACCAAAAAAAAAAATGAGATCACAGATACAAGCAGCGGAAGTTAGTTGTGTCTGAATGATGGCTAGCCTCTGCCTTGGAGATGCAATCATTCGAGTGGGGCTCAGATTAGAGCCACCACTCCTCCACATCATAAGTAATAGAGATGGGAAATTGGAATCGAGCAATTTTGATTCCTTTATTGGTATCAATAAAATTCTGAATGGCAAAAAAACAAAAGTGGATTTCATAAACCAGTAGGTGATGGATACTGACTAAAATTGGATTATGATTATTTACAAGGTTATTCTTCTGGTCTCAGTGCTGCATCCTACAAAGACACACGGTGCCCTTGAGTCAAAGCTTTTAGAAATAAAACTGCAAGGTCTCTAAATGGTGTCTGAACAAAAGGATCCAAAATATCCAAATAAAAGGCATTATCTCTTTTATTGTATTTGATGTTCAACTTGACAAAGTATATGTGCATAAAAATAGCTTGAAAATAAAAGCTAACAGTCAGCATCTACTTTTATCTCACTGTTGTGGAATTGATCCTAAATTCCTTAAACGTAGCACAAATCTCACTCGACTATGAGGGCTCTAAACAGATTCTGTGATTTTAAAATTATATTATTATTTAACCCAAGTGGATTAAAAACAGTAACACTACTACAAAAACACTAGAAAAATTGTCAATAACTGAAGGTCTTAGCAAAAGGAAAGTTCACTGTGCTCAGAGAAATAATGGAACACTTATCATGTGATTAGTGGTTACTCATAAAAGGTACTTTCAGACCGCAGGGACATTTCAATCGCTCTAATAACTTGTGAAGGAAGTTCCCCACTTTTAGTGTTAATGGTTCAGTAACTAGGAGCGATCAGAGTCCTTAGAAACACCATTTCTGTTTTGTTTTGTTATATATTTTTTTAGCTTCTACCTCAGGGTCGGCCAACATGTTCTCGTTAATGTAACATAATGCTGTTTTGTCAGATTCCTCCTGGCATCAGTGCTCTGACACAGGCTGTGGCAATATCAGCCACTGTGATCCCATTTTAAAGACCTACAAATTCCACAGTAACTGTGATGACACAAGTAGCTTTGTCAACCATAAAACAACAGTTCGTGTCCAGTGGGGATGGTTCAAGTACATTTTTTTATTTGTTTTAGGTTCAGACACTGAAAACTACTTGGATACTAGACACCGCTTCAGAACAATAACCCTTCTCATTAACAACTGCCACGTGTACATGAGCCAATGTGCAGTACTGACAAAATAGCAGCAACTGCCACTTAAAACTATCCTAAAAGAGAAACCTCTGATTGACATCAATTGGTGGAGCACTGACAATACCATATTGAAAAGACAAACCATGTGAACACTAGACATTTAAGTAGTATTTAGCTCTAATAAAGGGAAAAATACAATCAATGGACAGTAAAATCTAGCTTTAAGAAACCTATATAGAATAGAGGCAACATACAAAAAAATCCTGGCTCCTCCAAATGAAATATATTTAAAAAAAACTTTCCCAGCAGTTTATCTCGACAATCTGTGACTTCAGACAGCAAAGAGACTAAGACAGAAAAAGATTAAAGTGAAAGTGGATTACCACGATAACCAAAGTAGATCTAAACTGCTGTACCACAAACTATCCTTGATCGTAAATTGGCACAAGATCTGCAGTCTGTCTCTGTCCAAGGTTAGTGGCTCCTTGTATACTTAATATATTTTTAAAGTAGTTCCTTCTTAGGTTGTGTTATGTGAAAAAGTACAGAATCAATGCTGCTTTCCAGCCCAGTTATCTTCAGACCCACTGTGCACATAAACTCTTCCATCATGGGATCCTGTATCCTGTTTTTTGGTACTGAAATGCCAACACCATCTTCTGTAGCTATTAGGTCACTTCAGTTTTCAGAGGAACAGCTCAGCAGGACGTTACCCTCAGATTTGTGCGTTCAGACTAATAAACCTTCCTATTACTTGCCTTGGTAAATGGCCTGTATTTATATAGCGCTTTTACTAGTCCCTAAGGACCCCAAAGCGCTTTACATATCCAGTCATCCACCCATTCACACACTGGTGATGGCAAGCTGCATTGTAGCCACAGCCACCCTGGGGCGCACTGACAGAGGCGAGGCTGCCGGACACTGGCGCCACCGGGCCCTCTGACCACCACCAGTAGGCAACGGGTGAAGTGTCTTGCCCAAGGACACAACGACCGAGACTGTCCAAGCTGGGGCTCGAACCGGCAACCTTCCGATTACAAGGCGAACTCCCAACTCTTGAGCCACGATCGCCTTCTCGCTGGTTATGAGGTACTGAACGGAAACAGAATGAATCACACACAAGGATAACCATTTCTGTTTTAATATTGTCCAATCAGAAAACACAACCAAAGAAAAGTAAACAGGAAGTAGGATTAAAGGCTTGTATAGGACTTCCTGTTTCTTTCAGCTTTTGGTCCTAAGCCATAATCATCATCATCTTCATCATTACCACCACCATTAATATGATCTTCAGCATCAACATCTTTGTAGTCCACATTTTAATTTCAAAGTCATCACAGTTGGATAATTTACAGTGTTTATTATACACAGGGCAGATTTTTTGTGTGCTTTGTGTCTGTAAACTGAACTTCCCTGAATGGACAATGAAGGTTGAAAATGCACTGAATAATTAGTATAATAATTAGAATAATACTAATTAGCTTTTTCACATCATCAACATTTGTCATCACTGAGTCAATCATCGTAATTAGTTCCACCATCATAATTATAATCATTTAATCATAACTGGTAATGTGTCTCTCATCACCAAAACTGTTTTCTTCATCTTCACACACGCACATCAACATACGTCACTGGACACACATTTTATAGAAGCAGGCAGGTCCATTAATTTGTATATGGCTCAGTTATTAACATCAAAGCTGGATCGAAGAGAAGAGGAACAACTTCAAAGTCTGCTCCACTGGACGAAAGTTCAATGCAACAAACACTGAAAGTCCTTTTTAAAAAAAAAAAACTTCTTAAAAGTCACATTTCCAAAGGTTTCACAGGTGTTCTCTTCAGGCATTTTTGTGTCCAGCTCATGTTCCTAAGACTCTCGAGTCCACAGAATCATTTACATTAAAAAAGCAAAATCAGAAATCTACTCCCTTGAAAATCCATTGTGCTTTTAAATCCGTCATGCTGCAAGACTCTTAGCCACACAGTCCACAGCAGTGCAGAGCCCATTATACTGTACAATCCACATTGATCGGAAATCCTTTGATCTGTAGAATCTGTCACATTTCTGTCATGCAGCCGACACCTCCATTCTGCTTTATATTTTGTAGTGCAGCAGAATCTGTACAGGCTCCACAAAGCAGTCAGATCTACGACACTCTTGCACGACTGAACGTGTGTATGGTTAGTGCTGTTGTATACCGTCTGTTGTACTTTGTAATCCATCACACTGTCCCATATAGCATCAACTCTGCCAAACTGCATGCTCCTAAACATAGAACTTATCGTTGCAAACAAATATCTTGAAATGCCAGGTTCCTCAAGCTTTGCATTTCATCAGTAAATCACTTTGTGAACTTTATAGGATTACACTTGCCTGTCTTTAAATAAGTCCATTGATGATGACCTTTAATCTGTCACATCAACATGAGTACAACTGTGTTTAAAAAGCCACATCATCTGCATATAACGACACTAAACACATTTCTCTAAACAACATGCTCTCAGCTGTCTTGTTGGACATTTCATTTTACCATCTTTCATTTTGACTCTACTCACTGATTTGTCCATCAGGTTTACAAAAAACAGGTTTACTGATATCTAACCATTGACTGGCTCAAAAAAAAATAAATCTTGTATTTCTGACTGTAGGTTTTGTCCAGAAGTTGAGGCTGATGTGCTTTTGTCCAACAACTTTCTGGTTTTGTGCTTTGTAAAACCACAGAAATCTTTTTGAGTTGTTATTTGGTCACTGATTTAATTTCCAAGATTGCTGTCAGCCAGAAAAAGCTTTCTGAGATGCTCTGTCAGTTTCACAGTCCCCTGGCTCCTCTCAGTTTTCCACAAGGAATGATTCCAACATTCTCATCCATCTGTCATTCAATTAATCTCTCTGAGGAGTTTGTCAGACTTTAGGAGGTCACAAAATAAATAGCAGGTTTTCTGGCTGACAGATTTGAAGTGGGAAGCATTTGGGGAAACTATTACAATTACACCTGACCCCTTCTGGTAGCTTGCCAAGTGTGTGGATGCAGGTGTCTTTAATTTAAGAGGACATGTACCAAAAAAAAAAATCTCTACCCTATGTGTTGGAGAAAAGAAAATAATGTCTTTTACTTGTTCCAAACAAGTAAACACACAGAATCTTTTAAAGAATAAAAATTATATATGATGATAGCTTAGGGTTATAAATTAGTATTTTTAGAATTAGCCCCCTGAAAGTTAACTGGATCATGCTAATGTGAGTCTTTTTCCATTTAAGTCTATGAATGCCAAATTAGTTGTGCATTCAGAGATGCTGTACTGCATACTTTGATAGTAATGAGTGATTATTCGGGTTACTGTTGTCTTACTATCAGATTCCTATGAAAGCAGTCTGTTCATTCTCCTCTGACCTCTGACATCAACAGTGTATTTTCTCAGAGAGAACTGCTGTTAACTGAATATTTTCTATTTTTCCAGACCAGGCTAATGAGAGCTGCATTCATTTTACATTTGAATTTGTTTTTCTTTTCCTGCTTTCTTTGCCTTTACAAATGAAAAACAAATGCATTTAAATACTTTTTCTTTTGGTTTTCTGTCAGGTAGCATATTTAATCTTATAGAGGGCACAGAAATACAGACTTACATATTGGCAAATGGAAAATACCTTTCATGGTAAATTCTGTTTTTGTAGTTGCTGTCAACAACTTTAAATAGAAAAACTAATTTATAGGAAATTGTAAATCTTGTCCTATTCAGCCTCTGTGCTTTTGCTTAAACCCAACAAACCCTTTATGTACCAAGGCTGTTTTGGGCCTTCTTTTAAAGTCTCCTTCAAAATGCTGTCCAGTTTTGCTTATAGAAAAGAAAACAGAAGTGTTTTCTCTGGTTTAGAGGAAATTTTGATTGAGCTTTTGTGCTGTGAGCTTTTTATATTCAGGGGACATTTCTGAAACGAGGCCCCAACAAACCCCTCCTGAAGCCACTGATATTTTCAAAAGCTGAGTTTTTGATCATGAAAAAAAAAAGCTGCCCTTTAATTTCAGGCCGAACGGTATGAATTCTGTGGACAGTTAATGAGTGTGAATCAGCGCTCTGAGTGTTATCAGAAGACACCAAGTCCATGTAGTGTTAATTACAGCTCTGTTCAATGATCGACATGCCCCTAACTGCCAGGGTGTCTGCCTTTTAACGTCAGCCGGTTTAATGTGCTGAACACAGGCCAGACTGATTAAACTGTTCTGGATCTTTGTTTAGCAAGGGCGTTGTGAGGATCAGAGCCTTGAAGTTCTGAAAACTGCGAGTTGCATCTTTAATCAGCCAATCAAAATGCAGACAATTACACCTATGATTTGTCAAAGTGAGAGTAAAATTTTCTTTGTTCTGGATATGTTGAAAGGTCTATTTTGAATCCGTTCTAGTCAATTCATTGCATTGTGTGATTGAAACCATACAATCTAATGTCAGTTCATTCTGCATCTGGACGTAAAGTTTTCAGTGGGAAAAACATTTCGTCATTCATCCAACTGACTTCTACAGTCTCAGCCTGGAACACCACTAAGTCACTGGTTCAGGTATGTGGATGACACCTGGGTGAGATCAAGTCTCAGGACGTACCACAATTCACTGATCACATTAACTCAGTGGACCAACACATCAAGTTCACCAGGGAGGATATGAAAAGTGACAGGTTAGCCTTCTTAGACTGTGAGATTTCCATCAGTAATGGGGGACATTTAAAAGCTGATGTGTACCATAAACCTACCCATGTGGATCAGTATTTAAGGTTTGACTCTCATCATCCACTGGATTACAAACTGGGTGTCATTTAGGATGCTACAACACATAGCGATCACCATCCCACATATACAGCGGCCAGGGAAGCAGAAGAACATCATATCAAGAAGGTCCTGAGTAAAATACGGTTATCCCAGCTGGACAATTGTCAAAGCTGGGAAGGCACCTAAAGAAAGTTCCAGGCGATCAAGGAGAGAAGGACAACTGCAAAACCCGTAGTGATCCCTTATGTGTCAAGAGTATCGGAACAGTTGAGACAAATTTTTTCTAAACACTGAGTCGCTGTGGATTTTAAACCCCAAAACACACTGAGCTACCAAAAAATGGTCCACCCCAAGGATCGGGTCCCCCAACACAAACAGAGTAATATAGTGTACGCTATTAAGAGCCAGGAGGACTGAAATGATTTATACATCAGGGAAACCAAAAAACCTCTGGCGAAGTGGATGGCACAACACAGAAGAGCTAACTTGTCAGTCCCAGACTCCGCAGTCTATCTATGCCTACAGGCAAGTAAATACTCTTTCAGTGATGAGGATGTACACATCCTGGACAGGGAGGAGCTCTGGTTTGAGCGGCTGAGACTGAAGAAGCCACTTGGTTGAGCGACAAAATGTTTCTCCCACTGAAAATGCTAAGTCCAAATGAACAGAATAAACTTTTTGACTTTTCGATACTGGTTGTGTTCCCATTTTTTGATCAAAAGAAAAGCTAGTATCAAACATCAGTGTCATATTAGATGTTTTAAAGGGAAAACTCACTAAACCATTTATATCTAAATGCGTTGTCAACCTCAGAAAGAAACACCCGTGACTGCTAATACCACAGTAAGTAGTCCTCCATGGGCTGTGTCTAATGACGTCTAGCTGAAATACAACTTTGTTTTTTTGTTGTTTATAAAGATCTTAGTCATTTCACTTTGTTGTATGCTGTTTTTAATCTGGGAGCTGGTTCTTGTCTCAGTGACTACCCTTAAAGCAGTCTAAACATAGCACAGAAACCAATTTAACCACATCAGCCACAAGTGGAAGAAAGCAATCCAGTAGAGCTAAAAAGATTGAAATCAAGGTTCTTTTAAAAAATCAAAACCAGTCTGCCCAGTATTCTTGATCTTTCAGTCCATCTTTTTTTCTGTCCGACTGCATCTGGTAGCTAGCAGGGCATTAGCATAGCAGTCAGTTTGCAGTCACTTCACTTTAGCTGGCTGGCATGGTGTTAGCCGAAGGTGGTACTCGGAGGTTTGCGTAGCCACTGGTAGAACTGCCGCCGGTGTAGGCGGTGCCAGCGCACATTGCCCTCGACAATTTCCAGTGCTCGTGGCAACGCAGGCCCCGCCCCCACACCACTGGACAGGATGAACTCCTTTAACTAAAGGAAGAAAGAATCACAGGAGTAAATAAGGCAGCAGAGGAGAAGAAAGGAAAGAAAATAAATAATAATAATATTCATCCCCTGTAGATGCTAAAAAGGCTGTCACCCACCCCCCTCCGCAGTGCTGAAAGAAACAACTTCTGGACTTTTCAGGATGGAGATCCCTAACACGGTGGACATTGATAACTTTCAGGCATGAATTGAAACTTGTGCCATGTCCATTATAAAAATTCACCTCTGGGAGAGTATATATATGACATAAATAAGGGAAAGCTTCATAATTCCACTTTTAGAAGTGAGAAAAAGTAAGAATGTGTTCTGTGCAATTAACAGATACATTGCCAGTAGAAGTTGGAAAAAAACCAACAATACATACACATTTCATTCTTTTAGTTTGAGGGTTTTGACCAGATTGTGAACCCAGCTGTAAGGATTTGCTCCCATTCAGCCATGAGAGCATTAGTGTGCTGCTACACTGATGCTGGGTGATAAATCTGGATCACAGTTGCTGTTCCAGCTCACCCTAGAGGTGTTGGATGAAACTAATGAGGTCAGGGCTTGCAGGATCTTCCGCAAACAGTTAACACAAAGTTAGATGGATACTAAAGCAAATAACTGAAAACTCCTGGATGATGTTTTCATGTCTCAAACAGATTCTTTTAGAGTTGCACTGTAAACCTGCAAAAGCTGGAACATTTTATTGTATTTTATATTGATGCACTTTAATGTCATGGTATATGTACAGTTTCACTACATTTAAATTAAATAGCTTGTTAGCTCAGCTGAAATAGTTTCACAGTGTCTTATTTAATTTTCTTCACTTATGCATCACGGAGGAAGGCATGTGTAAGGTAAATAAACAGTTTCAAATTACATACTGTAATCATGGACATTTAAATGCAGTTATTCTTCATTCCTCTTGGCTTGAATGGTACTTGTGGTGAGTGAGTACACATTCTTGATGGTCATTAGCAAGACAGCTTGTAATTCACTTCACAGATTTTGCTTTTTTTCCACTGAGTGGAGCACCACACTACACACAGATACCTGTGCTACCAATTACAGGTAGCTAGGAAACTACTCTGCTCACGGTGTCACACCTCACAGTGTCATTATAAAATAAAATTAAACAAAACCTCAGCAGCTGAACTGTAAACATAATGGATTCACATATATCATCAGTATTTCAGAGCCTGCAGAATACTTCCCAGACATGCCCACTTAGAATAAGGGTATACAATTATTTAATTGCTTTAATCATTGGGGTTTACAGACTGACTGTGAGCATGAATGTCATGAAAATATTTGGATTTTAATGATTTCTTCAAACTGTTCTTTTTCTAATGTCGTGTGATTGTATAGCATACATCTTAAAAAACAACATTCACACGTTTTTTTATTTGCTCTGTTTTTTCACTGGGCAAATTTCCAGCTGCCCTGCTGGTAGCACACTCCACACACCACTTCAGGTCCCAGCACATCTTTTACAAGGGAGACACAATCAGCTGACACAGCTCAGGTGTGTGTCAGCCTCCCCTGACACCACACCCTGAACCCACTGCTCCAGCCCTCCCCTGCAGTCAAAAATAGATTTATAAACCCCCCACTAATCTTTGGTTAGCTTTCCCATTACAAGCTGCACTTCGTCCAGATGCTTTTGGTAGCCATCAACAAGCTGCTCACATAATTCTGGATGGATATTTGACTATTTGTCTTTGTAGAATTGGTAAAGTTCATTTAAATTAGGGTTGAGGTCAAGGTTTTGGGAAGGCCATTCCAGAAGCTTAATTTTAGCCAACTTTCTCCATTCCAACAACAGTTTTTGTATGTTTGAGATCTTTGTCCTGCTGGAATAACAAACGTGTTCAAATTTCAGTCATCTAATTTGTAGGTAGTCGTCCTCCTTCATTATTTCATCCAGTTTGTGCAGAACAACAGCCCCAGTGCATGATGCTACCACCACCATGCTTGACAATCGGTACAGTGTTCTTAGGTTTCAAAGTCTCACCTTTACTCCTCTAAAAATATTTCAGTTCACTGTGGCCAGAGCTAAATCTTTGTCTCGTTTGACCATCAAACCTTTCTTCCGTAAGCACTTGACTTGTACACGTGGGAAGCTCGAAATTTCAGTGGAGGTTGAAGGTGTTGATTTTGGAGTCACAGCTTCTTTCTTGGTCAGCACCCTGTCAGTCCATGGTGTTGTCAAAGTGACACTGGTGTTCCAGCAGTTTCCATTCATGGGAGGCTTGAGCCTTCATGATTCCCAACATCAAAACCAATTTCCTCTCACGTGAGGGTGACAGTTTGGGTCACCCTCACATAATTTTCCTTTCTTAGATCTTCGCTGAGTTTCTTGGACTTTCCCATTTTTCTGAGTATTGGTCAATCCAGTGAGTGCTGTCAAAAAATCCTTTTTGTGCTGCAAAGAGAAACGACCAACTGTAGTCAGTCATGATGACTAAGGAAATGTTAACTGGCCTGTACATATTATTTATATTTGACTCATTAACACTTTTGACCCTGCATAGATTTGAGAAAATCTATAATAAATTCAAACATGTGGACCCAATTCCTGTTTAAGTTATTATGTATTCTGTACAATCACTCCACCCTGGAAAAATAATGCCTAAAAAACATTAAATGTCCAAAATCACAGCATTCGTGCCTATGATGATTGGACAACAACTGTGCATGCACCGTATGCAGCAATAATGGTTGCTGAGAGATAATGGTCCTACCTGAAAGGCCTCGAAGTCCACATTAGGGAGGGATGGTGATGTCTTAGGTCGCAAATTTATTAGTTAGGAGATCATGGTCTGCATCCAAGTTTGAAACTTTTTTTTTTAACAATTTGTTTTGCTTGTTACAAGTGGAACTAAGGCAGCTGGACAAAGCAACAAAAAGGCACATGCATATACATTTGGCCATTTAGTAGCTGAAATACAAAAAGCTCTGAGGTTTTATATAAAGAAGACTTTGTTGTTTAAACACAGCTGAAGAAAAATGTTTGAATGTGAACATGTGATGTATTCAAGCTAAACTGTCTTTGAAAGGCATCAATTAATTGTTGAAAATTACTTTTTTTTTTTAAAAAATTTATAATTACACATAAAATTTCCAGCATGAAAGTGGAGATTTCAAAAGAAGACTTTGGTTTACAGGACTGTAAATTAACAGGTTTTCAACATTAAGGTGTTTTTTTCTTTTTGGTCAAAAAGAGAAACTTTGTTCAAAGAAGTGAATTAATTATTTTTTTTAAGTTGAGAGCCAAAAAGGAAACTTAATGTTGCTCAGAGTTTGACAGATTCAGTGAAGCGCGGGCAGAAATCCATCCCTTCGGCTCACTTTACTACAGTTCACATCGTTAACCGAGCACTCCTCTGCGCCCTCCTTCTACCTTTCGTCTCTGCTATGATTTCACTTTCTGTTATCTTTACACTTTCCCTCTCCTGTGTGACTCACCCTAAGACCCTTTTCAAACTAAAAAGAATCATTAATATAAACTCATGATGTTTTTGTTTAGAGGTTTCACTGACAGCCAAACCTAATGCGGTTACCATACCAACAGGAAAGTCGAAAGAATATTAATCACTAAAGTTTAAATAAACAGATTTATTCAGAAACACCTATGACCTTTTTTCTCTTCTTTAATTTTATATTTAATTATATCTGATTTCCATCTTTTCATCATATCAAACAACAAGCGTAGTAGCTGTGAGATGATGCAACAGAGGAACGATTAACGTTGTTAATCAAGCTCTATTTTCTCTGAGTAATCAACAGTAAATTTGGAATATTGATCCAGCTGTGAGCCTCTCGAGAACACAATTACACACTGATTAATTTCAAGGTCCTGTTAATTTCCAAGCTCCCATACTGGCATGTAGAAAACATGCTAATCTTCCTTCTGGTAGGGTATAGCTTATTTATTCTTGCTTAGAATGGAAGAATTAATTTCCCTTCATTTATTTAGGCCAAATGAAAGAGTCCAGAGTCACAAAGTATTTAATGTGAAACAGTAAAGTAATCCAAACTTCCAAAGGAAGGAGAACATGACGAAGACAGCAGGGAGGAAAATGGATTGGAACACAGTGGGAAAAACACGGATGCCCCAAGAAAGGATGAAGGGAGGACTCAGGATATATGTACAGACAGAGTTAAATAGAAGAAGCTAAACAAATATGTAACACAGGTGAAAGAAAATCAGGAAGAAGAAGCTAAACTTCATAAAAGTCACAAAACAGTAACTCGGTCCCAACTGGTCAGTCTGTTTTATATCAGAACACACTGGCTCGGTCTCAGAAATTATCCAAAAGAGTAGTTGTCTTTGAATGGTTACAACATTTTGGCTCATCATCAAAATCTCTGTGTAGCATATGGGTGAGTTTTTCACCTTCATCAAATGAGGAGGGAAATTTATAAAAGGGAGATCTTTTGAAATTAAACAGGATGCGCTCACTGGTGTGTTACCATGCAGGATTCTCAGACAGACCACCTCCTCACTCATCACTTTTAAAGATGGCAACAACAACAACAACAAAAAAATACTCAACTCTTAAAACTTAAAGTTAGCAAATTTAGTGAAGTTACCCTAACTTTGCTAACTTTAAAATGTGTGATGTCATAGTGGCTGCATTCACATTGTACACAGAGTCTATCACAGGAAAATTAAATTTACACAACAAGAAACTTTATGTCAGGGACCTGGATCTGAGCTATCGGGGGTCCCTGAGCTGTTATGGACTTGTGTTATATTATATGTGATACTGCGCTACTGTTCCGTGTCCACATTGGTATATAGGCAGGTATGTGTGTATGTGTGTGTATATGCAGCTGTTTCCTGTAGCACCTTTAGGCCTGGTGGGTGTGGCCCTGTTAGAAGGCGGGCCACCTCTGAAGACCTTTGCCAAACACCTGCGGCTGATCAGGGCTCGTCGGGGGAGCTAGTAGGAGAGTGCTGGAGCTTCCACCGATGCTGGATCATTGCGTGAGACTCCACGTTAGTCTTCCGGTCGAGTTTAGTTAGCGTGTGTGTGCCCGCGGTTGTATTGTGTCCTGACGGCTGCTTCTATTGTTTTCCCCAGGAGAGGTGTGGAGCGACCGACAGCAGCCAGCACGGGGAGTGCTGAGACACGGGAGCAGAGGGCACTAAGACACGGACTTTTCACGGAGGATGCAACGTGGGAGTCAGGGGAGAGCACGGGGATTTATTGTTGTTTTTTCCATTCACTGTGAATAAACGCACTGCTGATATTCAGAGCTCCGCGCCTGGGTCCTCCTTCCTCACTTTCCCATGGTTCACCATCGTCAACTATGACACTTTAATGAACATCTTGATGTCTTTAAATCTGATTTTGTGCCAGTTTGACACTTGATGGCTTTGGGGATTTGATGATTTTCAGGTGAAACTAAAATTGGGAGGAATATACTCTTGGCCAGGAAATATGTTTTTTTTTAAATAGCAGCTTCACACCGTTCTAAACCCCAGATGTCACTTTCTATCGGATGCCATCTTTAGTCTACTGATCAAAGAAAAAACAACACCACTTGTTTCTATGTCTGTGAAGGTTCTCAGTCATCCAGGTCATCGCAGTCTAAGGAGCTTTGAAAGAAAAGCGTCTGCACTTCTTTAAGTTGCTTGAAGACGTTTCACCTCTCATCTGAGAAGCTTCTTCAGTTCTAAGGGTCAATGGTGGAGAGTCCCAGATTTAAACCTAGTGGGAGTTTCCCCCCAAAGAGGGAGAAAGGACCCCCTGATGATCCTCTACCTAAGGTGTGAAAACGGGTGTGGGTCACAATCAGCCAGGGTTTCGGGTGAGCTCATTGTGAAACCTGGCCCCACCCTATCATTTGATTTACTGAGTTCAGATGACCCAGGATGTGAGTGGGCGTTAAGGCATCTGGGAAGGGATCTCAAAACTGGATTATAGATGGCAGACAGTTGGTGTCGTAAACCACCGCCTCTGTTCAAAGATGGTCGCTCACAGTGGACATAGATGGCTTCTTTCACTCCTCTTTCAAACCATCTGTCCTCTCTGTCCAAAATGTGAACATTGGCATCCTCGAAAGAGTGTCCTTTATCCTTAAGATGCAGATGGACTGCTGAGTCTTGTCCTGTGGAGGTGGCTCTTCTATGTTGTGCCATGCGCTTGTGAAGTGGCTGTTTGGTCTCTCCAATGTAGAGGTCTGGACATTCCTCGCTGCACTGTACAGCATACACCACATTGTTAAGTTTGTGTTTAGGAGTTTTGTCTTTCGGGTGAACCAGTTTTTGTCTGAGTGTGTTGCTGGGTCTGAAGTACACTGGGATGTCATGCTTGGAGAAAACCCTCCTGAGTTTCTCTGATACACTGGCTACATAGGGGATGACAATGTTGTGTCTTTCCTATCATCCCTCACTGGTGTCTGATCTTCTTTTCTGTGCCTCTTTGCTGACTTTATAAAAGCCCATTTAGGATAGCTGCACGTTTTGAGTGCTTCCTTTACATGTGTGTGTTCCTTCTTTTTTACTGCAGGCTTAGAGGGAACATGTTCTGCCCGGTGGTGTAGGGTCCTAATTACTCCAAGTTTGTGTTCCAGAGGGTGATGGGAGTCAAAGAGGAGGTACTGGTCCGTATGTGTGGGCTTCTGGTAAACTTCAATCTTGAGGTTGCCATTCTCTTCAATGTGCACAGCGCAGTCCAGGAAGGGCAAACAGTCGTCCTTTGTGTCTTCCCTGGTGAACTTGATGTTTTTATCCACAGCGTTAATGTGAGTAGTGAAGGATTCCACTTCTTGTGTCTTGATTTTGACCCAGGTGTCGTCTATATATCTGTACCAGTAGCTGGGTACTCTCCCTTTAAAAGAGCCAAGAGCCTTTCTTTCCACTTCCTCCATGTAAAGGTTGGCTACAATAGGTGACACGGGGGAGCCCATGGCACAGCCATGTTTTTGTCTGTAGAAACCCTCGTTGTATTTGAAATATGTAGTGGTGAGTAGGGCTGCTCGATTATGGCAAAAATGATAATCACGATTATTTTCACTGAAATTGAGATCTCGATTATTTGACGATATTTATTTAACCCTTTAAGACCTACTATAGAACCAAGTCCGCCAGAGCTTATATTATTTTTTTACATGTTGTAGTGCCATTTATGGGAGCATTTCAAGTTGCTATACAACTGTTATAGCCCATATTTTAATAATATGTATGCATTAAGTCCATAGTAAGTACATTAATTGCAAAAAAGTGCAATAAACTACAAAAAAAATTTGAAAATCGTTTTTGTTTGTTTTTTTTTACATATATTTCTACTTGGAGAAATTTAAGAGGTTTATCCCTCAAAACTTTAAATACAAAAAAGTTGCAAAAAATAGTTTACAACAACAGGAAACTTATTTTGAGTGTCTTCATAGTTTTATTTTGGAGATACACCAATTTTTATATACTGCAGGAAAAACAAAAAAAAAACAATCCTATGATGCAAATTTGCAAAGAAAACAGCACGTGAATCAAAATAAACTATTGCCAGCAGTGCAATTCGAGTTCTAAGCATCCCAGAAACTATTCAGAAAAGTCAAACATGACCAGTATAGGCTTTTAAGGCCTACAAGTAAAAAACTACATTTCCGCGAAAATGACGTCACTTCTGGTTTCGGGCAGGAAATGGCGTACATGCGATAGTTCGCGCTGACGTCTGTTTCACTGTGGGAAGTGTTACGAACAGCTGATTGGATCGGCAAAGCGTGTTTCTGGAATATTATGTTTTTGTTCCTGCAAGCCTTTTTATGCAATTTTTGCAAAGCTTTATGTGGAAAGAAACCGTGACCGAGGACAAGCTGATGGCATAAGATGTAAGTACAACTCCTCCGGTTTCGTATGCAAAACAAATTATTGCGCTAGCTTACACGGTTCAGGTTCTACAGGGATTTAAAAATAGTTACACAAAACGGAGCGTGCTGCTATGACCGGCTTTAAAGGGTTAACAATGACTTTAAAAAATAATATAAAATAGTGTGCAACACCACTGAAGTTTTTTTTTTTACCTCTCCTTTCAACCAACGGCAGTCACTCTCCTCTCCAAATAACTTCTGCTTAGCTTTCCGAGCTTCCCTCGGGTCCTCTTAATCAGCGGTCTCCAACCTTTTTTGCGCCACGGACCGGTTTATGCCCGACAATATTTTCACGGACCGGCCTTTAAGGTGTCGCGGATAAATGAGGGAGGGGCTAATAATCGGCTCAGTCATTTTTAATGATCGTTGAAAGCCCAGATCGTAATCGTGATTAAAATTCGATTAATTGAGCAGCCCTAGTGGTGAGGCAGAGGTCTAACAGTGTGCAAATCTGATCTTAGACCACCACTTGTTTCACTCACCTCATTCAGTTCTCGCTCAGTGTTGAGGAACTCTGTGACTCCACTGATGAGTTTTGAATTCATGAACAAAGCTTCACCGTATCTGAACAGAAATGAAGACAGAGACGGCATTTCAGGTGCTACATGTAAAGAACTTAAAAACGCTTGCGTGCTTTTCTGATTGTTCACGTCTCTTACCGCGCGTTCAGGATGTCCCACTTCTCTCTGAAGTACCTCCAGGCCAGGTTCCGACCCTGAGGGTTTCGACCCACGTGGATGATGACATCAATCACATCCTGCTCTGGGACCAGGTCCGAAGTCAGAGACAGGTTCAACAGCCTTGGAGACACAAAGAAAAGGATGGAAATGTTGGAATGTGGCTGTACCAAGTCTACCTGGAGAGCTGATAGGTTCCATATATGCTAACACATTAACATGCTCAACAAATATTGGCACGATCACAATATTAATAAAGACTGAAATTCGCTCCAAATACTGACTTTGAATTTAACTATAAAACCCTTAAAGACGACGCTCACACTCTTCCACAGTGTTGTCCCATCTGCCTTCCCTGATGCATGAAATATGACAGCAGCTTTCAAGAAGTAAAGAGTTAAGAAAAAAACAATGTGGTATGTAAATATGGATCTTTTAAAGTTGAAAGTCGCTCAATAAACTTTGTTACCTCCTGTTAAAGTTTTGTCATACATGGATTAATAACCTCACATAGAAAGTTCTGTGCACCTCTGGCAACTGGAACTTGTAAAGTGTATTTTGTGTTCAGATATTAAGAGTTGTTTAGCCTCTGTTTCTGGATTTGGTGTGAGAGTCGCAGTGTGTGAAGTCACTCGCCAGGAGCGTGAGGGTCAACAGCTCATGTAATCTGGCTAGAAAAGGTCAAGCTGTCATTTTGTAGTTTTTTTGTCCTGTGAGCTGCCGGAGGATGTTTCTGCCAAATCAAGAAAGAGTCCTCTGAAACACTCACGTGAGCTACTCCCAGCTTAAAGGGGATTGGAGGGAATTTAAAGGGATTTACAGAAACATGTTGATCACACACAGAGCAATCTTTTGGATGTGTAAACGTATCAAATTGAGAGTTTTTCTTTTTCTTTGAGATGTGAAACTGAGCAGGCCAAAGAGTTTCATAAATTTATGTTTAATCATCCAACGTCGTGTTCAAAGTTTACCTTCATCTTTCTTTATTTTCTGTTGCTTCACTGCCTCTGTGTGTGTGTGTGTGTGTGTGTGTGTGTGTGTGTGTGTGTGTGTGTGTGTGTGTGTGTGTGTGTGTGTGTGTGTGTGTTGCTTGGCTCATTGTTTGTAACTGCCATCTTTTCATTAAACCACCAAATCAATTTTCTCTCTCTTTTCCCACAACCCCTCTGCTGAAACCATTTCCTGTGTGACCAATCAGCTTCTTTCTGAGCTGTGGTTTTTGATTTGTGTGTGTGTGTGTGTGTGTGTGTGTTGCAATCTGAACATACAGTACCACCTCTCTGATTGCAGAACAGTTTACTGTGGGTAGAAAATCAATACCTGAGACAGACACACACACACACACACACACACACACACACACACACACACAGATTCACAGACACACACCTACACACACTGATCGGTCTTACCACGAGTGTGTGTGTAATTCATCCTTGCAATTTTTCTCAATGAGCGATAGTGGCAGTTGCCCCTGATAAAATACAGTGTTGTGTATAGACAGTCACACAAAAACACACGTGTACAGACACACACACACACACACAAACCTAGCTGGATTTCAGCACATGTAACGCCCCCCAGGCATCTTTTCACTGCACACACCTTTCTGTCAATTTGCAATTTTTTCCTGTCAGTGTGCCGCCAATTAACAGAGCTCACCTGACAGGTAGGATTTAGTCACCTTTTTATTTTTTATTGTTCACTGGTTTGTTTGTCATATTCTAATACAGCCCAGTACAGACACAACTCTGCAGTATCGGAGCCATTTTCCAAATATGAACAAAGTCATTTTTTCCATGCTGTCCCCCAAATTTGGGCTTTTACCTTCATTTCTTGGTCTGATAATGTTTTTTTAGACCCAGTCTAAGTTGGTCTTAACCAAACTGTTCCCGGCAGCACGTTCTGTTTATTTTCAGTACATTTTTTTTTAAATTAAAGTTCTATTTATTTATTCCATCCTGCCCGTCGGCCACGTGTCTGTTTTTGGTCCCTCTTACACAGACACCTATTACAGCTCAAAATAAATGTGAATGTTGTTACATATCTGCCGGAGGGTCTTAACAATTTAATATTATATGACATTTGCAGAACATGTACGCAAGATGCAATTAAAGACAAACAGCAGGAGGTAGATAATCCAGATGTGAATTAAGATCACAGCAGGAAACTGATTAAAAATAGCAGCAATGCAGAATTATTTAATATTCAGACTACACGATGTGACTGTGATACTGGCACAGCCTGACAGGCACACAAATGCCAGTGGATGTTAACAGGTTAACTTAATCTCACTTCAGGATGCTATCCCACCACTGTCATTCATATATGTGATGCTCAGACACACTTGGCCTGTCTCTATGTTCCCCTCCAGCACAGGGTCATTGTTCCTGGCTCAAGTTTCAGTTTCAGTCACAAAATCCTGATTTCATACGGGAAGATTTGTTACTGCTGTTGCTTTCCTGAAAACATAAAAAATAGTGAAGCAGAATTCAGACTCATGGGTCAGTCTATCACTGTGACCATCTCGAAAGACACAAACAAATGGTTATACTGTATAGAATCCATGCGGGCCCGATGTGGGAGACCTAAATCCTTTGAGAGTTGTGTCAGGAAGGGCATCTGGAGTAAAAGTCTGCCAAATCAACTATGCGATGATCCCTTGTATTAGGGCTGCGTGGGTCTGACCACACTTGCCCTCACATGGGCCCCAAGAGGGCATATTTGTTGGGTAGATCAATGATATTGATTCATATGACTTTATGAATTGCAATTTAACCTCATAAACACTCAATGAGATAGTTGTGTTTTTTAAAACAATAGCTGCAATGACAGAGACAGCCGAGCCATGTCTACCTGTTGAGGAGGAAAGTGTTGTCTGAGCAGGTCAGAGCCTCCAGCAGGATCTTCTTCTCTGAAACGGCGTTGGAAGAGTGAAACTTCATCCAGATGAACTCCCACACATCCTCGTCCATCAGGCTGACTCCGGTGCAGTAAACTATGTCTCGGATGTTAGGAGGAATCCTACAGGGCAGGGACACAATATCACACCATCACACTGACTGAAGCCACTCTGCCCCGGTGCAACAAATTACCGGTATAGCAAAAGTCTGGTATCATTTTAGGAATGTGAGTATTTGATGTGACTTATTTGCAGTACCACCTTCCTGCAGGGACAGGAAGGTAATAAAACTAAAAGCCCCGATAAGGCATGTCTGCGGGATTAACTGGGACGCTCTCTGGGTGCTAAGTGAGAAATTCTGATTCCATTAAGAAGCTCCATTAAAAACATTCCTCCTGCTGCTGCTATGGTCATAAAATGCAGAGAAAGAGCCACACTCAGACACTTTTGAACAACTGAGACTTTAGAAAGTTTCAGGAAGTCTAATTGGCACGCATACCTCTAAATTTATTGTGTTGGAATATATTTTCAGTTTGAATAGCATACGTGCTGACTGCAGACAGCTTCTTTCTCAGCTGCATTCACAATTGCCAAGCCAAGCTTTAATCAGAGTAAACACAGCAAATGTTCTAGTCAGTGTCCAAGTTCCAACTTTGAGATACACGGCTAAGTAAACAGCCGAGACAGAGATGGCTATGCATAAATTCTGAGTAGAGGTTTAGGAGAATTCTAACTGAGATGCTAAAAAACACATTAGCCAGTCACCCTGCTGCTCTGATGAATGCTCAGAGCAAAGCTTCACAAGACTTTCGGTGTTGTGGTCGCAGGTAGCTGCTGCCTTGCTTTATTTGTAGCACGAACTACCGTGGCATTTGTTCTGGTGCTTCAGTGGATTCAGATAGTCTGACTGTGTTGGCAGGGTGGATGAGCCGTACTGCTGTGGAACTTTGTTCATGTTTAAGCTGCAGCGATAAAAGCTTTTTGATCCCTGCATTTCTTTGCAGTCACCAAACTCGTCATTTTGAACAGTTTTGAATTGATTGCGTGTTTTTTATGTAATTCAAGTTGAGGCTGTTAGAGTTGCAGTTAAGAACTTTTACATTCAGTTCCATTGCAAAACAATAAGTCCATAAGTGACTCTTTGTTGATGACCCTAATGTTCTCTCTTATTTATAAATTTGATGAGATGGAAGTCATTAAAATGGTATTCTGGACTGATCAGAACTAAAGTAAAGGAGGCTTGTTTCTTGTGTTTCCCATCCATAGTTACTTGTTATGACCGCATTGTCGCAGCTGCAACTGACTAAAACAGAAGCTACTGCCCCGTAATAGTCTTTTAGTCATAATTACCAGAAGTTGATGAAAGTTGGTGGTGTTGTATAAGTGCTGGCAAGCAAGACCAAGCAACACTACTAAAAACATGTTCAACATGGGAAGAAATATGAGCAACCAGAAAAAGTGAAAAGAAGCCAGTCACTTAAATCCTAAAAGTTCTCTCACAGGAAAAAAAGAGAGTGTTCAGCTATATTAATCATGGAAGGACTCATAAACAGTCACAGTCGTTGGGATGGCCAATATTTGCATTTTCACCAACTCTAAATACTCATTAACCCTGTTATTGGTTTACAACCTGTACAATCGACCAGCTGCTCTTGTCGTTAGAACTGAATATTGATCTTCCAGGGTGCCAGATATGAGTGATTTACTTAATGAATAGACAGGTACAAAAATAAGACCTGTCTAAGCAGAGATTCCTAGATTTCTCTCTCCCTCTCCAGCTCCTCTAACACTTACTTCTTCGGGGAGTCTGAGGCATTCCTAAGCCAGCTGAGAGATTCAATTTCACCAGCATGTTCTGGGTGTGCCCTCGGGTCTAATCTCCGTTGGAAATGCTGAAACATCTCACCTGTAAGCACCCTGGTCAAATCCTTGAATCATCTGAAATGGCTGTTTTTGATGTGGAGGAATAATGCTCTGTTCTGTCCACATCTCTAAGGGAGAGGTCAGACAGCCTACAGAGGAACCTCATTTCCTCTGTTGGTGATTACCACCAGCTGTAGATGAACCCATAATATGGTGATGTTTGCTTTGTTCAGACAAATACAATTATTTCAACACTAACAAGGTAGAATAATAACCTAAGCCTCTATCTGAATACACAGAAAACTCTGCCCCTGTATCCTCCTGGAGGAGGTTGGAGTGAGTGGCCGGGCACAGGAAGGTCTGGTCATCTCTGATTAGACTGCTGCCCTCATGACCCTTACTGGATCAGCAGTAAAAAAAACACAAATTAACACCCATTAACCTCTCAACAATCAACAAGTTGGTACTGACCGTGTTAGGAGGTTAATATCCAACATCACAATATAACAGACTCGTTTGATGTGATAAACAGCTGATGGAGTTGATTCGTCATTAGCAAAGAGGTGAACAAGATATAATAACACAATATCTGACATTTTTTCTCTATTTATTGCTGCCAGTGTTTTATTGTCACAAATGCGTGTTTTGTTACTATATATTTTAGTCCATTTATTTCCATTTACAACATAACACATGTTGTAGTTGCAGTCTTGATTCATGTTGCTTCTAGCTGATTACTTTTTGTAACTTCTCTGTGACACCAGAGAAAATAAACGCACAGAAAGTTTATTAAAATAAAATGAGCTGGGTTTGTGTCAGTCATATGTCTGTAAAGTTGTTTTTTTTGTAAAGTCTTTGAACACAAACTGAATGATGTTTCTTATTTTGAACCTGCTGTGAAAGCACCCCACGACTTGTGTCAACATTTATTATTGTGCTGTGTATCACCATTTGCAGGCAGAGCAATAAAAGTGGAATCTGTGAGGTGACCTGGCACACTGAATGCTGGTTACACAAACTGTCTCTCAGTTATCTGACTGCTGGAGGAAAAAAGCAACACCTGGTGGTACAGGCTGATTGATAAGAGCGAGATCTGGAGCCCCTTCGAGCAAGACCTTTGATACACCATGAATCTCATTTCATCCATGAAGGGAAAAAAGTCTACACAAATGTTCTGAACTGTCAAAACAACATAAAAAACTTCATGTGTACCTGACAAAGTCCACATCCATGTAAGTGTCTATAAAAGATGGATGCAGCTTCATATTTAAGTGACTGAGTATGAGGCAGTAGGGCGTGCTCCTCTGGTTGTGAAAAATAAATCTGTAATATAAGTTTCTATGAGACTGTAAAATCTGTGGCATCAGTAAACACTTTCCTGAGTTTGTGGTCTCATTCTGATGTTTAATGTCTTATTTAATTCAACATGATGTTCAAGTTGCTTTATTTAAAGGAAAACAGAGAACCTTATTTGTTGAAAATCTGGTATCATATGTCTCCGCACCACACTGAATGTACCTCCTGTCTACTAAGAGCAGAAAGCTGAGGCTACAATTCACAGTCTCAACAAAAGATTAGAAAAATGTTGCCGGGTCGGATTTCGTCTCAAATTTTGCTGCATTTTGATTGTATCAACAACACGAGTGCATGAATCCATCCTACCTTGTATCAACGGTGCTGGAGTAAAGGTTATGGGGATATTTTCTTGGTGCTCTCTGGGCCCCATAGTAGCAAAAGAGCATCATTTAAACCTCACAGCCTACTGTACCTGAGTGTTTTTGCTGACCTTTATGAGCACAGTTATAACCATCAAATCATCTCAAACTGGTTTCTTGAACATGCCAACAAGTTCACTGTCCTGAAATGACCTCCACAGTCACCATTCCAACAGAAAACTTTTGGGATGTGGTGGAACAAGATGGAAGTGTAGCATGATGGTTTCATGTCAATATGGACCAAAAGTATGAGGTACAGTGGGGCAAAAAAGTATTTAGTCAGCCACCGATTGTGCAAGTTCCCCCACCTAAAATGATGACAGAGGTCAGTAATTTGCACCAGAGGTACACTTCAACTGTGAGAGACAGAATGTGAAAAAAAACAAATCCATGAATTTACATGGTAGGATTTGTAAAGAATTTATTCGTAAATCAGGGTGGAAAATAAGTATTTGGTCAATAACAAAAATACAACTCAGTACTTTGTAACATAACCTTTGTTGGCAATAACAGAGGTCAAACGTTTACTATAGGTATTTACCAGGTTTGCACACACAGTAGCTGGTATTTTGGCCCATTCCTCCATGCAGATCTTCTCGAGAGCAGTGATGTTTTGTGGCTGTCGCCGAGCAACACGGACTTTCAACTCCCGCCACAGATTTTCTATGGGGTTGAGGTCTGGAGACTGGCTAGGCCACTCCAGGACTTTCAAATGCTTCTTACGGAGCCACTCCTTTGTTGCCCGGGCGGTGTGTTTTGGATCATTGTCATGCTGGAAGACCCAGCCTCGTTTCATCTTCAAAGTTCTCACTGATGGAAGGAGGTTTTGGCTCAAAATCTCACGATACATGGCCCCATTCATTCTGTCCTTAACACGGATCAGTCGTCCTGTCCCCTTGGCAGAAAAACAGCCCCATAGCATGATGTTTCCACCCCCATGCTTCACAGTAGGTATGGTGTTCTTGGGATGCAACTCAGTATTCTTCTTCCTCCAAACACGACGAGTTGAGTTTATACCAAAAAGTTCTACTTTGGTTTCATCTGACCACATGACATTCTCCCAATCCTCTGCTGTATCATCCATGTGCTCTCTGGCAAACTTCAGACGGGCCTGGACATGCACTGGCTTCAGTAGCGGAACACGTCTGGCACTGCGGGATTTGATTCCCTGCCGTTGTAGTGTGTTACTGATGGTGACCTTTGTTACTTTGGTCCCAGCTCTCTGCAGGTCATTCACCAGGTCCCCCCGTATGGTTCTGGGATCTTTGCTCACCGTTCTCATGATCATTTTGACCCCACGGGATGAGATCTTGCGTGGAGCCCCAGATCGAGGGAGATTATCAGTGGTCTTGTATGTCTTCCATTTTCTGATGATTGCGCCCACAGTTGATTTTTTCACACCAAGCTGCTTGCCTATTGTAGATTCACTCTTCCCAGTCTGGTGCAGGTCTACAATACTTTTCCTGGTGTCCTTCGAAAGCTCTTTGGTCTTGGCCATGGCAGAGTTTGGAGTCTGACTGTTTGAGGCTGTGGACAGGTGTCTT